TTTCTTTATTAGTTTTTGAATTTTTGTAGTTTCAAAGATTTCAAAAATCGGAATAGAAATGAATTCAGCATAGAATTATAAGTTTTGGAAATACTTTGAAATAATAATGAACTACGAGGTGGAGATGAAATCTTTGGGTGAACTTAACTAATTTGAACACATATTGGCCCAAAAAAAAAGAAAAAAAACAAAGACTAATTTGAACATATAGGCGCTCGAAATTTTAGTTCAAAACTTCAAATTACGCACTCCTCTATTATTGTCCCCAAACAAAAATTAGCTTAGGTAAGAATGGCGTACAGCCGCCCCCACCTTCTTATGCTGTTCCTTACGCAGTTGCATTAATCCAACGGCCCGATTAGACCTAGTTTTTTAATTTCCTAAGCGGGGCCCAGTTTCGACGTCCAAGTCCACCAGCCTGATTATCATCTGGCCCGAACGTAAAAATCATACAAATAAATCTGATTCAACGTTCCACAGGTACTCTGGCCCCGCTTATAATTCAAATGCGAACCGCTTTAATATTTCCACTGACAAAATACCATTTCGCCCAAGCGCCAAAACTGTTACAGAAAAAAGAGATAAAAACCACACGGCCGCTCCGGCCCTCTCTCATAATCTCATTTCGTTTTTCAAATTTCTAAGTTCCTTTTGGCTCTTTCGACCAAAAAAAAAAAAAGGTTCCTTTTGGCTCTCAAATGGGTACCGTCAGTCTGTGCCCGAAAGAGTACCAGAAGGTTTACCAGGAATGGTTCAACTTGGTTGATTCAGGTATAATTTGTTTCCGTCTGATTCTTACTGAACTTTAATCAAATATTGGTTTTGATTCTTAGCTATGTTTTTCTGGTTCAGATGGAGATGGTCGCATTACCGGTAACGAAGCCACTAAGTTCTTCGCCCTGTCAAAGCTTTCTCGACAAGAACTCAAGCAGGTTTTTAAGTTTCACTGTGATATCAGGCTGATTTCTATTTTCCATTCCAGTGCTTTTAGCTTATGATTTTGTTTGTTTTATAGCCTAAACTAGTTTATTGAACTTGGAAAGTAAGATTTTGTGGTTTTACCCTCAGATCACTAGTTTTTGGCTGCTAATTTGCTTGTATCTTGTATTTGGTCTCTTAGCCTCTTCTATGTGACAATCTGATGTATGGGGTTTGAAACTCACTTTCTGTTTCTCATTTATCATTGAAGGTTTGGGCCACTGCTGACAAGAAGCGACAGGGGTTTTTAGGTTTTACAGAGTTCATTACTGCAATGCAGGTTGTACATGATTTCTTTTTTGTGTAGAATATTTGGGATATGTTATATTAGCTATTGTAATAGAATCTTACCCTCATCTGTGTTCGAATTGATAGCTGATTTCCTTGGCGCAAGAACATGAATTAACCCCAGACGTCCTCAAAACTGAAGGCAAGTGGAATATATTTGTTTAATACTTCTTTGCTGTTTTGCATTGCATGCATAAATTCAGAACCATACAACGTATACAATTTGACTAGGTCTCATTCATTTTTTTCCTCCAGTTATATTATTTGAAAGCTTTTCCTTGAGGCTGACAAGAATGTTATGCGTTCAGAACTCTCTAAACATTATTCTTATTTAATTGCAGTTGACTGGGAAAACATTAATCCTCCACTTATGGAAGGTTTGGATGCTCTGTCAGCCGTGAGTATCTTCCTTTTTCCTGCTTCTTGACTTTGTGGCCTACACTATGAATTTCACTCATTAGTTTCTTGATTTTATATCAACAGAAAACCAAGAGTTCAACGACAAATGGACTTGAAGTAAATGGTTAGAAAATCCATCTAAGTTATGTGAATAAATGTGTTACGATCTTTTACTAAGTTTGTTTGTTGGTAATGATGTAGGAAGCATTCAATCTCAACCACCAGCCCAGTGGTTTGGTTCAAAATCAGTGAAGAAGGTAAGATCAGATGTCCTTTCTTCCACTGGAGATAATTTTTGATTTTGAATGATTTGCTTTAGAACTGCTGCCATGTCGTCTTTCCAAAATCTTATCATTAGCATATATAGATAATGATGCAAGTCTATCGTCCTTATTGATGGTTGAATTACAGTTAGGACTGTATCTTTATACTCGTACATTTTTTTATTCAGTTGAATTATCTCCCTAACCAGTTTCTTCGCTTATTCAGTTAAAAGTAGTTAGTTTCCCTGTGTTCCAATTCACGGATATGACATTGTATTTTTCGTAGACATCCTGAAATTTGGTAACTGATATTCATTGTTTTACTCCCAAATCTTTGGTAAAGGTTTTTTTTTCTTGTGTCTCTTATTATTTTGATTCTTGTCATCTACATATCAACTTGTATTTCATATTTATAAAGGGATGCCTTCTCTTTCCTTATTGCCTGACTTGTTCAAATCCGTTTCTTCAGCTACCTCTTATTGCTGTTACATCTATAACCGATGGTTTGAAGAGATTGTACAACGAAAAACTAAAGCCATTGGAACTTACTTATCGCTTCAATGACTTTGTATCTCCATCATTGGTGAGTCTCATATCTTCTTATGTATTTAGTAGGATATATATGATTTTGTTAGTTCTCCAATTGGGATGGGGAATGAAATATGGTTTGCTCTTCTTAGTAACGTTTTGTTTAGGTAGAGCATTTGCTAAATTTATGGCTGATTTATTTTTTTGCAGACTAATAGTGATTTTGATGCTAAGCCTATGGTCATGCTTTTGGGACAATATTCAACTGGAAAAACAACATTTATCAAACATTTGCTAAGATGTAACTATCCAGGTTGGTTAAGTTCTCTGTCATTTTATTTTGAAGTGATTAATTGACAACCAAACCATTTAATGACCTAACATTTACTTCTTTGAACAGGAGCTCATATTGGTCCAGAACCTACTACTGATAGATTTGTTGCTGTGATGGTATAATTTTTAATAACAATGATTCCTTTTTTAAAACTAATTAAGTTTATCATTGTTTCTTTGTAATATGAGGTTTATTGTGTGTCAAATGTTCTTGGTAATTCTGAACGATACTCATATTTTTGTACTTAGTCTGGACCTGATGAGAGGAGTATTCCTGGAAATACCATAGCCGTTCATGCAGACATGCCTTTTAGTGGGTTAGCAACATTTGGAGGTGCATTTCTGTCAAAATTTGAGTGTTCTCAAATGCCACATCCAGTGAGTTGAAATTTTTTGATAACCATATATTTGTATTACATTTTCATCAGTGTGTTGATCTTTCTTTTTTATGATTACAGTTGCTAGATGAAATTACATTTGTTGATACTCCTGGAGTTCTATCGGGAGAAAAGCAACGAACGCAAAGGAGTTATGATTTCACTGGTGCTATATCGTGGTTTGCTGCAAAATGTGATGTTATTCTTCTTCTGTTTGACCCTCATAAACTTGATATCAGCGATGAGTTTAAACGTGTAATTACATCTCTACGTGGTAATGATGACAAGATTCGAGTGGTTCTAAACAAAGCAGATCAAGTTGATACTCAACAAGTGAGATGCACTTCTAGTTTATATATTGTTTTGGCTTTGTGCATTTTACTTTTTCTTGATAACACTTTTCAACTTATTAACTCTTCAATTACACATTGTAGTTGATGAGAGTTTATGGGGCATTGATGTGGTCACTTGGAAAAGTTTTGAATACCCCGGAAGTTGTGCGTGTTTATATTGGGTAAGCTTTCTAGTTTTGAATTTGTTAATTCTTTAAGCTGGTTTTATGCGTAGTTGATTTAAGTGAATCATGTTTTTGTTTTTCTTGGTTTTGCAGATCATTTAATGATAAACCTGTCAATGAATCAGCTGTTGGCCCTATGGGTAAAGAACTTTTCGAAAAAGAACAAAACGATTTACTAGCAGATTTAGTTGATATACCAAAGAAAGCATGTGATCGACGGGTAAGATTGTCTTATTTTGATATTTTGTTACTGTTTTGGTTGATATACCAAAGAATACTTGGTTACTTTTGATTATATAGTGTCCTTTTTTATTTCTATATTAGGTTCTTAGATTTGCACTGATAAAATTTGATTCTAATGTTGTATATTGTAGATCAATGAATTTGTTAAACGTGCTAGAGCTGCTAAGACTCATGCCTATATAATTAGTCATCTGAAAAAGGAGATGCCTGCTATGATGGGCAAAACTAAGACTCAACAACGATTGATGGATAATCTTGAAGATGAATTTGCAAAGGTCTCTCTTTAACACTATTTAGTTTTACCCCTATATATTCCAAGCATACTTACTCATATTAAGCTTTCCAAAAACAGGTTCAGAGGGACTTCCATTTACCAGCAGGAGACTTTCCAGATGTGGAGCACTTTAGAGAGGTCTTGAAAGGTTACAACATCGATAAATTTGAGAAATTGAAGCCGAAAATGATTCAAGCTGTAGATGACATGCTTGGCCGTGAAATCCCAGAACTGTTGAAGAATTTCAGAAATCCTTATGATTAAAAATGTTGGTTTCTAGATATATGGCATGGTATATCAGACTATATTGTGTTCTATATTTGATCATCCATCCATTTTATTGTTGGTTGAATACCTTTTGAGAGTTGCATTCCCAGAAGTTGGAACGCATCATCATCCATGGGCATGTAAGATGTGAACATGATTTGGGTATTTGGGCTTTCATACTGAAAGCTTTGGCTTTTCTTAAGCTGTATGTGGGATGGTCTTGCTTAAATTGATGTTCCATTTCTTTTCTCGTCTGCTTATTGTTTCAATACTGAATTTGAAATGGCTTTTCTTACCCTCTGAATCTGAATCAGTTTTCTAATATCTATCTCATTGGAACATAAAACAAATATCAATAATAAATCAATAGAGATTCAGTATAATGACACTATTTTTATCTCTAATTACTAATAATTAGCCAAAGAATGAAGGATCATTACATTTTTAACATTAAATAATTACTACGTAAAAATTCTTAAACTCTTAACCGTTTTCCCCTCAGGGTCAGGAGGCAATAATTTTCAGTTTAAAAACAAAAAAACAAAAAAACAAAACAAGTCTCTGCTCGCTGCTTAGCTAAAAAAGACAACTTGGTTACGAGAAACCCAAGAAAATGGAGAAATCGAAGATTGGGAGGAGATTCGAAGGCAAAGTAGCGATTGTGACGGCTTCCACTCAGGGCATCGGATTCGCCATCGCCGAGCGCCTCGGTTTGGAAGGAGCCTCTGTTGTTATATCCTCTCGCAAGCAGGTAATTTTACATCTTTGGCCTTTTGTTTTTCATGAAATTCATCCGGATTATCGTTGCTTCTTGTCAAGTATGATTGCTTTTTGGTTTCTGTGGAAACTGGGATCGAAAGACGAAACGCTGAATTTCGTTATATGTGGTTGCTGAAAATGATATCAAATGTTCAGTTTGTAATGTATATTTAGCTTTTCAATATTGCAAAGCTCAGATGATGATTGGACCAATTTGTTCCATCAAATTGGATTTCATCCCCCTCTCTTAAATTAATTCCAGAGAGAAAGGGAGAGAGGAAAAATTAGTGAAATCTTGCGTATCATGAACTTAAAATTGCAATAGTTTTATGGATTACACATACATTTCAGGTTCAATCGAGCTAAAATGGTACATGTTTGAATCTGTACTTTTGGTTCTTTTGCTATCTTCCACAACCAGCCAAGTGGTATTGAGTTTTGTGTTGATTTTGAATAGTTGTGTTGAGTTGTTTCATGCTTAATCAAATCTTTCCAGAAAAACGTTGATGAAGCAGTTCAAACACTTAAAGCTGAAGGAATTGAAGTGTTTGGAGTCGTTTGCCATGTGTCAAATGAAGAACAGAGGAAGAACCTCATAAGCAAGACTGTGCAGGTAAGATCATTTCTTGAATCCTTGATTTGCCACTTATTTTCCAAGCAGGATGGAAAATATAAACAGAAAGTTGTGAGAAAAATGTGGGATGTATGAGTTTTGTTTAGGTTTAAAAATCTACTTGTGGAGGTCTCAAATTCAACGACAGATGAGTTAAAAAGCTGTTATCTTTGTGATGGCTACAGATTATCTCTTTTACTTGAAAACAGTTACTGTTTCTATTTCAAATGGTTCTTCAATGCCATTTTGTTGAATGGTTGAAATTTACTTGTTTGTTTGCAGAAATATGGAAAAATAGATGTGGTTGTATCAAATGCTGCTGCCAATCCATCAATTGATACCATATTGCAAACCAAAGAATCTGTGCTTGACAAGCTATGGGAAATAAATGTCAAAGCTTCTATACTTCTTCTGAAGGTAAAATGCCATAGGTAGACACGCTTGAGGAGCCATGACTCATCGTGAGCTCTTTTCCCATGGAAATTTTCTGCTTGAGCTTTGGAATAAGCTATTTTGATCCTCTCTTTGCATTTTCCATGTGCATAATACTTCTGGTGTAATATATTCAAGGTTATAATACAACTTAATTATTTAACAGGACGCGGATCCTCACTTGAAGAAGGGTTCTTCAGTTGTTATCATTTCCTCGATTGCTGGCTACCACCCACCAGCTTCCATGGCAATGTATGGGGTCACTAAAACAGCTCTTCTTGGATTAACCAAGGTATGTACATGATTCATGTTTCACCTCATTTATTTCTTCATCAACTCACAAGCGAGGCATTTCTTCTGCTTATTCTTTGCTGGTCTTACTTTAGGCCCTTGCTGCTGATATGGCCCCAAATACTCGTGTAAATTGTGTTGCTCCTGGTTTTGTACCTACAAACTTTGCTTCATACATTACAGAAACTGATGCTGTGGTATGTATATATCGACATATGTCTTTGCATATATAGTATATAGTTCCTAGGGATCTTGGGCAATGGGCATTCACCTTTGCCGTCGACTGAATTTGAATGGTAATTTATTGCAGAGGAAGTCCCTCGAGGAGCAGACGTTACTTAACAGGCTTGGTACCACTGGAGACATGGCTGCTGCGGCTGCCTTTTTGGCATCTGATGATGCTTCTTACATAACGGGAGAAACTGTGGTGGTGGCCGGAGGGATGCCCTCTAGACTCTAGTTCCTTTCTTTATCTCTGTGTTTTGGCGGCTCAAATGCTTACTAGTTACAAGAACACGTGAATTTTATATTTACTGTTAAAGAAGCAAATATCAATAAGGATTTGGGAGGGATGAAGTGCAAACAAAAAATGTCATGTTACTGGTGTTTCTGAGCCGGTGCTCTTTGGCTTTTCAATAGAATTAACCCATAATACTATTCATTCATGGTCAAATTTTCGCATCTGAGGGTGTAGTTATTCTTTCCCATCTGATACAGGCGCTTAAAATAAAGTGCTAATTAATAATAATACTAGTAATCACACAAGGGCAATAACTATTGCCACATACGATCTTGGGGAGGGCAGGAAGCATAAACACTACAAACCGTGCTGAGAAGAATTTTAACATTACTCAGCTTGTCACAAACAATACACATGAGATATTAAGATAAAAATACACGTGATGGCAGATGATTATAATGGAAAAGAAAACCAGAGACCCTAGTAACTACTTTTTGTACTAAAATTGAGCTTCAGACGGAAGGCAGCCGAACCCCTTTGGGCACTCTATGAAGCTATTGACTTATGTACATGAAACCAGAGCATCCTGATTTCTGACGTTACATCATCTAGGAACTTCTTCAAAAGGTAGTAGTAGATCCTTTTCTCCCTATTGCATCACCACCTTCACAGAACGCTTAACCTTGATTATTAGATGATCTTCGGTCTATCTCTCTGAACTGTGTCTTTAGGCGAAATTACATACACTTAACCAGGAAAGGAAAGAACAGAGCTGGTGGTGGTATCCGCTTTCTCCTTCAGTTTCACCCTTCAACTTTTTACATGCAAAATCCACTTATAAACAAAACTATCATGAAGCTAAATATATCTACACAGGAACCACATCAGCATTCTGATTATCATCGCATGTCAGAATGAGGCCTTCAACATAGGTTGGGAGAAGGCAGCGTAACCATTGAAAGCCTGTTGAAACAGGCTCTGTTGGAGGAACAATCATGACCACGTTATCGTGGCGCCTTACAACCCCCATCACACTTACGGTGCTTCCCTCTTTAATATACCTGACGAAGAAAAAACACTCTTAAAAGCCTATAAATTGTAAACGATCTCATAAATTGCATAATCCTACATAAGTTTCTATTTACAAGTTCAAAGTAAAAATTTCCAACCATCCACAAGTTATGAGGGGGCTAGAAATAGAAAAGTGGCATACCCTTCTTTGAGGCGCATTATGCGGTCATCAGTAGAGAGGTTGCGCTCAGCAAGCCACCGCAAAAAACTTGGAGATAACTCTTTGTTTTCCTTTGTGACATCCACTACAGTGGCTGGTTTTACGAATGGGGCAACCTTGGCTCCATAGCCAGCTTTCACTAACGCTCTTAATCCAGATTGGAAGTCTGATATGTAAAAATCAGCCACATATTTCTGTTCAAAATAATCATAAAATTAGCTTTTGATATTAGTGATACGGACAATTGAAGGTACTGGTTTCTGTACCAACGAACCTGATTGAAGGTAAACAGGAAAAATGCATATGCAGTCTTTTGGTGGGGTAAAATAATTGCAAAGATGGCAATCATTTACTTCTTCAGGGAATTCAGGTCAATTAGACTATATTATTGCTCCACACCCCCCAGAAACATGCATGTAAGAGAGCCAAAGATGGTTGAATTTAAACTACTGCATGCCTAAAAAGCTTGACTCTACCTAGTGTATGTACATTTTCAAGGCCCACCTCATATGTAAACATTCTTTCGGTTTTCCATAACAGACATATGTCTGATTGATAGTGCAGTATTTATAAATTTGTATTTAAAATCACCATTGGCCAAACTTTGAACCTCAACATAATTCAGAGCATAATCTGACAACTAACCTCTGAATGTCTAGATTTTTTACTTTCCGACTTGCCACTGCATCCTTTAGATTTGCATAACTCTGTAGAAACATATACACACCTAGGTACCCTTTGGTAGGACGATTCCAAAGGAATACTGCCACAGGTAACAACCTACATAAAGAGATCTCCATCATATATTTACTACGGATTAAAACAAACATAAAAAGTAAAAACCAGACCCCATCATAGTAAAATAAAAGAGCACTTGTGATGAATCTCATTCCTAGGTGGTTCTGAATGCCCTAATATCTACAACAAGGAAATGAGCAGAAGAAATTGGAAACATTTTGCAGAACATATTGTTATAGCATCCAATGCAAATGGTCGCGGTAACCACAATTATTCATGAAAAATGGCAATCTATGCCTCCTGGGTCAAAGCGGACTCGTACCCAGATTCCCTTCCCCAATTGACACTGACAGTGATGATAACCCAAACTCTTAATAATAATATAGCTTAGTATTTGTCATAATCAAACAATTGACGTGTTCTGTCTCGAGACTAAATTATAAATAAACGTTGTACCAAATAAATCAAAACAAAAAAAACAACATATAGTAGCATCAGCAAGTATCCCAAAATCAAAATCTTCAAAAATAACAAATTGGGAAAGCATTAAGTGTATCTAATTTAAATAACAAAGTTAAGCTGAATTATTTTAAGAACGAGCATCAGAAAGAGAAGAGGGGGGTGGGGAAGAGTGAAATTACCCCGGTGACCTTGACGTACTGTCCGTCAATGGCACCTCTAAGCTCAGCATCAGGGTACCTCCTCACAAACCCTAGCAACCCTCTTCTCCCCCAGGCGTAATTCCACACAATCACCACCACCACGGGCACCAAAAAGAGCGCAACCGCCACCAAAATCACCCACTTCTTGACGGCCACCATCAGAAACCCACCCACCAGCAACCCCATCACCACCACCACCATGAACACCCACACTGCCGCCTTCGATACTCGAAACTCCACCTTCACCTCCTCGTTCAAGGTCGTCACGGCCGACCCGTACACCACCTTGCTCATCGACCCGGTGTGCTCTAGCTGGCCGGAGGACCTCCTCGGTCCGGAACCTAGTGGGCCCGAGCCCAATGGCCCAGAAGTAATCAGACCCGTGGGCTGGAGCTGGGGCGTCAATGGCCCGGAGGATTTCTTGGAAATCTGGCCGGAGTTGGGTCCCGATCGAACGGATCCGCTGTTGTGTTGGGAAGAGGAGGAAGGGCGTGAGCCGGAGAGCTTGGAAGGAGGAGGACCGTTGGATGGGAGATGAGGAGGATGATCGGCGATTGGGATATCGAACATTTTGCCGAGCTCCCCGGACTTTTTAACGTCACCGCCGGTGTAGGGGACGGCGCGTGACGCCATTGTGGGCTGGCGCTCCTTGAGCTGCTGCTCGGGTCGACCCGACACCACCAGCCCGTTGCTGAGCTGGTGCGATGGGATTCGGCTCCCCATTGGGCTTTTTGGGTTTTTCACAGAGAGAGAGAGAGAGAGAGAGAGTAGCAGCAGCAGCAGCTGCAGAAGTAGAGAAAAAGCGAGTGAAGGAGGGGACTGAGGAGGAGAGTGTCAGTGTGTGTGTGTGCGTGCGTGTGAAATGGAGATGGTGGTGCTTGAGGGAGGAGGTTAGTCAAATGACGGAAATGGGTCTGTGTCTTTGTGATAATGACGTGTGTGTCCCCTGTCTTCAAATGGCGGTACAGCGAGTTTACTTGATTGGGTTTTTCCCATTTGGATGATGATGATGGCTGGTTACTCCCCTCCTCTCCCCTCTCCTCTCCCCTCTCCTCTCTCCTCTCCTCATGCCTTCTTCAAGCCTTCATTCAAAGCCTTCATGTGATGTATGTATAATGTACCCACCCCACATACGTACTCACTAAGTAGTCTGTCTTTGATTTTACCCTTTTACCCTCAAGCTCCTTTTTGTAGCTTGGCTGTTCACTATAGAGATGAATCAATCATCTCCGCCACACCCTTTGCAGTTAATAAACAACATCCATCACTCCATTCTTTTGTTTTTCATCAAATAATAGTAAAGAGTACGTTTAATTAATGACATTCAAAATGTTATGGAATTTTTTTTTTATTTTTTTTGTTATGACAATATTCTAAACTATTTTAATATACGATGAGTTAAAACTCGAATAAAATGAGACATGTATACTATATTGGCTAATTGACCTAACTAACATTTACTCCTCATTTATGAAATATGATGTTAAAACCCAATTAGGCAAATTACCCTCCCTCCATATAGCGCATTTGATATGATATTTCCAAGAATTCTATAGTGATGATTTTATATATAGTCCTTAAATGAAGCTAACAAATTTGATTCAACGACTAACCAATTTGATCTAACAACTAAAAAATAGTCTCACCTAAGGGTCATATATAAGACCCTTACTATAGAATGACTCATGATATCTCACGGTCAATCTTATAAGTCCAGATCCCACCCACCATGAAGTTGGGATTGTTGTGAGTTGATGAAATGGGGTTCTATGGTTGCCATAAAATCTTCAAATATTAGAATCTTCTTAGATTCTGCTTATGCACAATAAAATGATTATTAAATTGTGATGTTTGGGGATTTATAAACTAAGGGCGAATATAATCTCATTAAATCCAATTCAATGCAATGAAGATTAGATTTACAGGAACTATAGTCGGTAGACAAAAATACACGAATTAGTTGTAAATCATATATGTATGCTGGTGCTAGGGTTCGTGCCAACTTTCAATATAAAAATCAGATCATTCAAGACCTTGATTTTTATTTTTATTTTATTTTATTGTTGCTTTTAATACAATGATTTTGGCCGAATGGGTCTCTCTGTCTCACTCACAATTATGGAATACACACAACAATGTGGTTTATGAATTCAAGACATTGTGGAGTTTAAAAAACCCCAAAGGGCAACATTGGAATTTGAGTTTTCAACTACGTCGGTAGCGAAACACATACACATCTCCAAAGTAGTAAACGGTAAATTTGATTATGACTGAATGGAAATAGATTTGGTTCGTTGTGAACTTGTGGAAGGGGTAAGGTAAATTTGTAAAGTACTACCGCCTTTGCAAGGGTAATTTGGTCAAGATGTTGTGGTGGGCTCAGACTCGGCGGCAATTTAATATTTATTTGATACTTGAAGAAGGTTTGTGATGCCGGTAAAGGTTTATCCGCTTTTTCTTTTACAAGGGAAGGGATTCTCTCTTCGCGTCCTTATTTACGTTTTTCCTTTTTATTTATTTATTATTATTATTATATTTTTCTTTTGAAATTAAGTTATCTTGATTCTTCTTAAGGATTGAATTCAAACTTTCTAGTTGTATTTGTATGTGATAAATTTGGACTGTGGGCCTGTTGGTTAGCAGCTGCATAATGGAGGATCTAATTTAGCATTAAGCCTGTAGCCCAATAGGCCACCCAATATATTTATTTTCAACTTCATTCCTCGTGAAACCATTGGTAGTAGAAAGCTCATCTATGGTTATAATCGTTTGCAAGTCAGGACAACTTATAAGAGATATAAAGATCCACATCATTAAATTTAAGTGAAGTTACTATTCAAATGAATCATATGGCTCATATAAAGATCCACATTTATAGTACATATATGACATTCACTATAGAACAACTCTTATAACGCCTCTGGTTATTGGGTTGAGATTTCAGAAGAATTTAGCATCGTTATTAAAAAAGTTGTCGGTGCAGGAGGAGGAGGATTGGGGAATGTAAACAAATGAAAATAAATCAAATAAAAATAGTTAAATAGTGTGCGTGTGTGTGTACATGAGAGAGAGAGAGAGAGAGAGAGAGAGAGAGAGAGAGAAGGAACGTTAGGTGAGTTGTAATAGAGAGAAACAAAGTTATTGAAAATCAGCCTCATGTTTGAAATAGGTGTTGGGTGATGACCATGATGGGCATTAAATATGCTACAAGTAATAGTTTTTTTTTTTTTTTTGGTCTGAAAGAGATTGTTGTATTAAAAAAGCCCAAAACGGGAAGCAAATACAACACAGCTGGCCGAACCAGCAAGAACACAGAACAGAGGCAAAATACAATAAGGGTTAGACAAATCTAAAGCTCCGTCGGAGTTTAGTAAACTGTCTCAAGCCCAACCAAAAAACAGAAAAGAAATCTAGTTCAAGAGAGATGACCCAACTGGGGGGCAGGGCAAACCATCAGAGTTCAGGACCCCAACAAGAGACAATGGTGGTCGGATGACCCAACTTTGCAGTTCCATAGCTCTCAAACCTATCGTCGCAGACATGTGAGCTGCACGATTTGCTGATCTTGGCACCCACTTCCACCGCATCTCATTGAAATGTTGAGAAAGGCTACAAATTTCGTCAAGAATTGGAAGGATGGTCCAAGAATAGTTTCCGTGATTCCCAAGAATACTATCCACAAAAACTTTGCTGTCAGATTCAAACACCACCTTGGAGAAATCTCTAGTGATTGCATAAGAGACTGCATAGAGCGCAGCAGCAGCTTCTGCAACAAGAGCAGAATTACAGGAGATTGGAGAAGCAGTTCCACCCCTCCAAGTACCACAATCATCACGAGCAATAACCCCAATACTGCCATGAGAAGTACCGGGAGACCAGGCCCCATCAAAATTGATTTTGATTGCATTAGCAGGTGGAGGGAGCCATCTGTCCCTGCCAACATAAGGGGAGGAGGGGGAAGTTCTTGAACCAGAAAGCCTAGAGAAGCAGGTGTTGGCCTCCCAGAATTCACTGTAAGAGTCATTGGCCCGCTTAATAACCAACCTTGGGTCGGGATTGGTGCCTTTAAAAACAAAATCACAACGAGCTTTCCAAATTTCCCAGCACAAGAAACTAAGAAGAGAAAAGCGATGCAAGAAATCCTCATGGGGAGTATCCGGAATTGATAACATATCATGCAGCCACCGGTCCAAAGTCGTAAAGGCATTGGGGATAATCCTGTAAGAGAAGACAGAGCCAAACCAAACTGGATGTGTCCAAGGACATAAAAAGAGGATATGTTCAACAGATTCTTCAAAGCAGTTGCATATTGGGCAGAGAGGATTGGTTACAAGTTTCCTTCTAAATAAGGCCAACCTAGAGGATATAGCACCAGAGATTGCTCGCCATAGGAAGTGCTTGATTTTAGGAAGGGTCTTGATATTCCATATTACCTTCCAAACTTTTGCATCCACAGAATGGGAGGAATAAGTGTGTTGGAGGAGGGGGCCATTTTTACTGGTATGAAAACGATGGTAACCAGATCTAACTGAAAAAGAGCCGTTTGGGTTCCAGGGCCAGACCAGTCGGTCAGGTCTTGGGGATAAACTGATAGGTGTGCTTCTGATAAGATTAATAGTCTCCCTGTCCAAACAATCAGCAATAAGATCCAAATTCCAAGAATGGTTCGGTTTGTCCATAATTTCACATACAAGTTGGGGAGCAGTAATTGGAACGGGGCAGGTTGGTTTAATAACTCCTGAGTTTGAAGCAGATATCCAATTATCCTTCCAAATATTGGTTGTAGCACCATTGAAAATTTGGAATTTGGCTTCCATTAACAGGGCATCTCGACCCTCAATCAATCATTCTTGGAATGTGAATGAACCCAATATTATGGACATACATTTCCATTCCATTCCATCATCCCATGTATTGAAATCAAGATTAGAAAGAGCCATAAAGCTCCAAGGGGTATACAAGATTAGATCATCATGTATTGAAAACCGAAGTAACCAACTATAAGATATGAATGAACCAATGAGATAGACAAATTGTAGCATTGACAGAGGAGGGGGAAGTGATCAATGGTAAGTAAATCCTTAATCATTATACATTAGTTTTTAGTCAATTGTAAGGTGTTTGAATTCGAAATACCTAAACAAACATAAACAAAGGAATGTAGGAGTAGGAGCATCGATCGGCTATGAATCTGATTACAAATAATAAGGAATCTACCTTGACGGAAAACTGCTAAATCACTCTTTTGAAATCCAAAGATTTCATGGCATCTCCTGCTTCTTCAATCTTCCTTTTCTGAATATGCTTATCTATAATTTGTTGTATCTGAAATGGAAATAAGCATATATGATTTGATAGTCATTATTTAAGCAGCAGCAGCAATGTGATTTGGGAATCTGAAAACCTGATAACAAGTACATACCCTGTTAACTAAGACCTCCTCTCTTTTCTATCTCTTGCCAGTTTGGGTCCGTGTAAGGAACCAACTTCTCTTTCTGCAAAGGAAGTTTGGATTGAGTAATTGTGATAACAGTAAAAGGCAATATAAAAACAGAAAGACATGAAGCATGCATGCATATATATATATATATATATGTATGTATGTAGGCAGAATCTTTAGTTCCTTTCTTTTACCTCCTCAACCCTAGAGGGAAGCCAAGGGATAAAATGACTACAAAATTTCGAAGCACCGGCCTCAACAGCAAGGTGTGAATATTGTGGGTCTGTCCTTATGACGATCTCAGCCGAGCACTGGGTACAATTGAAGCAAAATCCTGAATGTGTGATCTTTCCAAACCTCCCAAAACTCCTGTAATTAATGATGCAACAATTAGTAGTGTGTATCGCATGAAATTTAAACCTGACCAATTAGAAAACACCAAAGCTCTCAAAACCTAGAGCGAGAGAGAGCTTCCATCATCAACAAAAATAAACAAACCCTAGAACTAGAACTAAGAGAGAGCAAAACGAGAGATGAACTGGCCAATTAAAGCTTCAAAACACGAACAAGATTAAGATTAAAGAACAATAATAAGCCAAGTAAGTACCTCGCCGAGGACTTCTTCTTTGCTGGAATTCAACTTGGTGCCTTTGGCCATGACAGTGCTACAAGCGGTGCAGCGAATGCTCGAGGGAAGCATCATCAGAACATTCTCAATCTGCGGGTTCTTACGCTGGGCCGCCATCACCACTTTTATATGATATCTCGAAATCGAAGGTTATTAACCGTATAGCCGAGCGGCTATACTGTTTAAATATTCGACATATTTAAAATGTATAGACGCACGGCTATACTGTTAAATATTCGAAAATATTGAAATCTTATAGCCGCACGGCTATACTACTTAAATATTCGAATATATTAAAAGAGTATAGCCGGCGGCTGTACTCGAATATATTAAAATCGTATCGCCGCGCGGCTATACTATTTAAATATTTGAATATGATTAAACAGTATAGCCGCGCGGCTATAATCTTTAAATATGGGCCTTTAATTTTAGTCAGCCCGGATCCAAGGAAAATAGAGCAACAGCCCAAGCCAGCTTAAGAGAAGTTAGGTAATGTCGTAATTTGCAAGAGACTGAGAGGCCTTGAGGTATGAGGGTGTCGTCAAGAAAAGTGTACCTGATTGTGCGGCTGGCGGGCGTGGAAACTGAAGCGACACCAGACAAGAGACAAAAGTGGGAGTCCGAGAGACTGAGAATTGAATCTTACATTTACTATAAAAATCGAACTTGGAAAATTAAACACGAACAAGAATCTGATGCGAATCAGAATGAGGCTCAACGACGCCAGAGACCTCGTTCGCTCTCCTCTCGCCGTAAGCATATTCAATTTTGGAGCTACTGAGCGAAATCTAAGACATGCTCTCAAGCCGGCGTACGAAGTTCTATTTGAGCGGCTGAACACGCATCCCGGCGGGTTGAAGTTCTTGTCCATTCTTCGAGCTGATATTCAATCCATTCTCGCGTAAGGTTACACTTACAACTATTACGACGTTAAGAATGAAATCAGACCCCAGGATGAATTGCTATTTTTGCATATTCTCAGAGAGGAAAATATTGTGTCTATCTCTTTTGGTAATTTTTGATGTCACCTAAGAGCAATATTATGGTTATTCAGTAGATAATATGTTTGATCATGGGTCTTACGCCTAGAGGAGTAATCGGGGGCCCATCTCTTCTTTTGTTTTTTTTTCTCTTCAACATATGAATGCAATTTTCCTTCTCAAACCCTAACTCTAAAAAGCGCCATCTTCCAGCCCCTCTTTCTCGCTCAGACTTCTTCTTCAATCCTCATCTCTCTGTCTCTCGCTCATAGCACCATCGTGATCTCTTCCCTGACCTTGGAGATTCCAAAATGACGTTTTTTTTTTTGGGCTCAGCGCCCTCCTAGCCCGCCCGCCTAGACCGCCTAGAGCCCGCCTAGCGACCGCCTAGCGAGCCTAGCCCAGCCTAGCCCGCCTAGCCCCTGCCTAGAACATAGAGATCTTGGCCACCATCTGCATATACCCTCATGTCGCCACCTAGACCGCCTAGAGGCCGCCTAGCGACCGCTAGACAGCCTAGCGAGCCTAGCCCCCGCCTAGAACATAGAGATCTTGGCCACCATCTGCATATACTCATGTCGCCCTCCTAGACCGCCTAGAGGCCGCCTAGCGACATCCTAGAACGCCTAGCGAGCCTAGCCCCCGCCTAGAACATAGAGATCTTGGCCACCATCTGCATATACCCCAGTGTTTTCAAAATCATGCCTAATCGCGCCCCGGTGCGCGCGTTGGAGCGAGGCGAATGGAAATTGCCTCAAGCGTTCATCTGTTTAGCTTGCTGCACTTTTAGCGGAGTGAGGCGCATCGAGGGGTGGTGAGGCGGCCGAGGCGGAGCGAGGCAGAAACAGCATAGCGCGATGAAGAAGATGAAGTTGTTTTTTTTAAGGTTTTCTTCAATAGCCCGCCTAGACCGCCTAGAGCCCGCCTAGCGACCGCCTAGCGAGCCTAGCCCGCCTAGCCCCCGCCCAGAACATAGAGATCTTGGCCACCATCTGCATATACCCTCATGTCGCCCGCCTAGACCGCCTAGAGGCTGCCTAGCGACCCCCCAGACCCCCGAGCCCCCGCCTCGCCCGCCTACCCCCCCCCCACA